TCATCGTAACGATGTCAAGTCGTGTTTACAGACTTCATGCCTTACCTGGAGATGTCAAGATGAACACAGAGCTTGGACTGCCGTCTTCTCCTGGAATCAAGCCCACAAAACTATAGGAGGATAAAACCAAATGACAACAATAAGATTGAAATAGCCACACATGAGAAGCCCCTGGGGGAGACTGAGGACTGGGCTGAACTGGTACCTGGGCTGGGGGTGAGGGAGTTCTGGGCCTAAGACAAGTTGGGGAGACGTTGTAGCTTGTAATAATAGAAGGCAGACAGCAGGACAGGGAGGAGCAAGCCCTTTAAACTTCTGCTCCTTTTCCATTGCAGAAATCTGAGACCGTGCCTCAGGCCACACATGCCAGTAGCCCCGAGGGCAAGGTCAAGACGGCAGGGAAAATGGGATCATCGAGGCACTACGACTCCTAATAATCACCCGAAACCATGCTAGTGAGTAAGGACTCGTCTTCAAAAAATTAGTTTAGCAGAATATAAAGCATGAACTAAAACCGGAATAGTGAGTATCACAATGAATCACCCATCATAAGGGTAAGCAGTTTTTCATGAAACAATTATTACATAGACACTTCGGATAGCTGCACAATGTCTAATGGATTGCTCGCTATGGATGAGGGTTAAAAAATAAGAAAATCACTGCACTGGACAATGCAATGGCTTGGAACCTGAAACCACTCTAAGAGTTACTGGCAGGCAGAGACAATGTCTAATTTCCCACATGGTATTTAATTGAGAAGCCAGGATACAAGATGAAGATCCTTAAGAGAGAACTAAGGGGTCCACCCATTCCAGAACAGAGGGTATCCCACAGAAGCCTGTTTTACTGCTGACATTAGTCCTGGGAGACTCCAAGCAGGGGTCTCAGCCTGAGGGTCTCGGGAAGGTGGAGGCCTTGGTCTGAGGATGGCAGACCTGCCCTGCCTCTGTGGTTTGCCCTGGGAAGCTCCAGGGCATGGTCACTGGAGGTGCTCACAAGGAGGAGCTGGTCTCTGCCAGACATGGAGGGGAGGACCGTGAGGGAGGATTATATAGCTTGGCCCCAAACAGAGGAAGTGCCACAGAATCTGGCCCTTTGCCTGCTTTCAGTCCCGGGAGGCTCTAGAGCGTGGTGGCCAAATGCGGTGTCCCCTGATGCCTTTGGATGGAGAAGTGAGAACCTTGTTATCAGAATGGGAGGTCCCAGGCCGGGCAGGCAGACAGAAGTGCTCCCTCCCCGACTTCGTCTCTCTGGAGAGGGAGTCTCCGGGAAATGGCCTTGGACTGAAGGTCGCATCAGGCCCGCAAAAGGGGGGACACGCAAGCCCTGTCAGTGGCAAACAGAATTACCTTGGACATGTCCCAAGGTATGCCTACAATCCCAGATGGGAGGGTGGCGGCAGGGAGCTTGTCTTGGCCCTGACACCAACCCTCAGTTGCCCTGGTGCAGAATGGCCTGTAAGGTGCTTCCCCACGTCCACCTTGATGTTCTCGGTTAGGGGAGGGGCTTGTTCTGCGGCCCATGAGCTCAGCTCCAGAGAGGAAAGTGGCTCAGGCGGAGCCAACACGAGGAGTCTGAGCTAGCACTGAGGGGTTCTCTACCCCGGACATCAGGTCTCCGATTCACCCAGTGCAGTGTTCCCGGGGAGACCCCAGGCAAGGTTCCTGTATGTGGCACGTCTGCACTTTCATCTCAGGAGTGTGAGGGGACAGGTGGCTTGCTCTGAGCCAGGCTGACTTGGGTCAGAAGACAGGTCCTAGGCTATGCCAAGCTCCGAGGTGAGGACCTGAGGAAGAGGTGGGAGACTTCCCTTCGAGAGACAAGCCAACAACTCTGAGAAGACCGGCAATGTGGCTTCCTGACTCCAATCTCCAGAGCATGAGGGGTGGGGCTTCAGGGGGGAGGGGCCATAGGCCTGGCCAACCATTAAGAGGGGGACCCTAGTGGGGAGGGGGGAAGGCGTGGAGCACCCGCCTACTGCGCATACAACGCCTCTAGCCACGTCCGGCCACGTCCCGCCCCGCCCTGTCCGCCCCGCGCCTACAGTCATCCCCGGGAGACCCTAGGCAAGGTTCCCGTAGGCGGCGCGTCGGAACTTCATCTTAGCACGTGAGGGACATTAGGCTTGGGCTGAGCGGAGCCGACTTAGGTCAGAAGAGAGAAGAATCCCAGGCTCTGCCAAGCTCAGAGGTGAGGACCCTGAGGAAGAGACAGGAGAGTTCCCTCGCAGTGGGGGGTCGGGGCGGGGGTGGGGGTGGGGAAGAGTGCAGGCAGCTCTGAAAAGCCCTGAGCACATGTGGTCGGATGTGGCGTTTGGTGCCTTGGTCTTGGGACTCTGGGGAACGCGAGACTTTGTCTGGGGGACCCGACTCAGGTTCGGGGAGGGGCGAGTTCCAGGCCTTGTGGGCAATAGAGAAGGACCCCGAGGGCGGAGGGAGGAGAGCCCCCCTCACTGATCGAGGGGCCCCCACTCCCATCCGGCCCTTACCATGAACCCTGAGCAGACTGGGCAGGGTCCCCTTATGTTCTGTTTACCGACTTCTAGCTGGGGAGCCTGAGGGGCGGGGCTTCAGAGCAGCTAGGCGGGAAGCGTGGAAGGCCCGCCCACTGCACACACAGCGCCTCTTGCCCCGCCCCTTCCGGCCCCGCCCCGCCCCTGTAGTCATCCCGGGGAGACCCCAGATAGGGTTCCCGTAGGCGGCGCCCTGAGACTTCCATCTTACCGCGTGAGGGACGTGAGGCTGGGGCTGAGCGGAGTGGACTTAGGTCAGAAGAGAACGGAATCCCAGACTGTGCAGAGCTCGGAGGTGAGGACCCTGAGGAAGAAGCGGGAGACTTCCCGCGTAGGACCGGGGGGTGGGGTGGGGGGGGCAGGGAGATAGGCTCTTCCCCGCCAGTGCCCATACTTCTGGAAAGCCCAGAGCACAAGTGGTCGGATGTGGCGTTTGGTGCCTTGGTCTTGGGACTCTGGGGGACGCCAAGCCTTCTCCGAGGGGTGTGTGGACTTAGGGCACAATGGGGAGGGCCCCTGGGCCGTGCGAGGCTTCCTGGTGAGAACCTTGGGGGCGGACGGCCCTCCACAGAGCCGGGGCCACGGCTCCCCGAGCCCTGTATCCTGGGACTCCCCACGCCAGGTGGTGAGATGCGGTGTGCGCGGACGTGCATTTGGAGGTCCGAGGGCCCCGGGCCCAAGTCCGCAGAGGCGCGTGGCCTCCGCGCAAGGTCCCGGATGTGGTGTCTCCCCCCCGTGGGGGGCGTTTGGGGAGTACGAGGCTTTTTCTGGACGACGTGGCTTCGGGGCGGTAGCGGGAGGAGGTCTGCGCCCCGGGCAGGTGAATACCCGGAGGGCCCAGTGATCGGGCCTTTTGGGCCAGACACTGGGGGACACGTGACAACCGCCCCCCTTCCCCCACCGTTTTAGCCCTGAGAATCCCGGCCGTACTGGGGGACACAGGCGGCGGTTCTTTTCCCCCCCCGAGTGCTTTCTCTGGCATCTTCACGCGAGGGGCGCCAGGGCTTGAGAGGCCGTCCCCAGGTCAGCAGGGCGCAGGGGGGCAGCCCTATTGGGAGGGGCTGTGAGTATTTCTAGGGTCCTGATGGGCCCCGCTTCTGCAGGCAGAGGGGCCCCGTCTGCCTGGCTGAGGGAGGACTCGGGCAGTGGCGGTCGGATGAGGGACCCCTCACGTCTTCCAGGACACGGTGGGATTTGTGTCACCGACGCGAGGCCTTCGTTGAGGGGGCGATGCGAGTCCTTGAGGGGGCACGGAGGATAGGTCCCCAGTGCAGAGCAGATGGGACCCAGCCCCGCCGGGAGCCCCTGAGAGCCGGCGCAGGGCTGGCAGGATGCGGCTCCTAGCTAGTTTTGTTTGGAGGTTCTCGGGGGAATGAGGGGCCTGGGTCTGAAGGGACAAGGACAGCTTCGTAGAGGGGGGAGTCCCGGGCCCCAGCGGGAGTCGGTTTACAGACCCGGGGCACCCCCTTCACCAGAGCAGCCGGGACCCAGTGCGTTCCTGCCACTACTGTCAACATGCGAGGACCAGAGACGTGCTTGCTGAGTGTGGCCACCCCTCTGTATTGTCTGGTGTGGGGGGGTCTCAGGGAGGTGAGGACCTCAGTCTGATGGGCGTGGCCGAGTGTAGCAGAAGGAGGAGTAGCGCGCTCGCCAGGTGTCCGGGTGAGGACGCCGAGGGAAGATTTAGAGGATCTCTTACCCTGTAGGCAGGTGTCCTGGAGACTGACCCCTGCCGGCAGCCCCGGGAGGCCACACGGCAGGGTTGCCTCGTCATGTTTCCTGATTTCCACGTTGGAAGTCTGGGGGAAGTGAGGCTTCTCCTGAGGGTGACAAAGGCAGGTTAATAGAGGGCACAGTTCCAGGCCCTGCCAGTCATCAAGAAGAGGACTATGCGCGAGGATGGAGAGGACCTTCCACCTCATATGGATGTGGCCTTGGCCTGCCTTGAAAATACCCCAAGACAGGGGAAGCCTCAGCCCTGTCCTGTCCCCCCCGCTCCCCATCAACCCCAGGAGGCGGCAGGCAAGGGCGGCTAGATGTGGCATTTCCTTACTCTTGTCCGGGAGGGTCTTACAGAGGTGAGGACCTTGGTCTCAGGAGGTGACACGGCAGTTCAGAAGAGGGCGGATTCCCAGGCTCTGTCAGGAGTCACTGTCAGGATCCTTGGCGAAGCCCGGGGGGACCTGAGCAGGGGCAGCCAGGTGGGAGGAACTCTCACTTCTGCCACAGACTCTGCCCAGGAGTCAGGGGGGTAGAGTGTTTCGTGGAGGTGAGGCCTTGGGTGGAGGGGGGACTTAGGTCAGCAGAAGGTAGGACAGGCCTTGCCGGGAGCACGGATGAACAGCTGGAGGGAGGAGAGGGTGCATTCCCCACACTGGACTAGAGCCCGCACAGGAGCAGCTGAATTTGGTGTCTTTTTACTTTTGTTTGGAGTATCCCAGGGAGGCGAAGAGCTTGGTCTGAGCCGGTGACATCAGCAGAGGGAAGAGTTCCAGGATCTGTGGCGAGTCAAGGTGAGGTAAGGACCTCGAAGGAAGACTAAGGGGGCCCCCAACCCAGACGGAAAGAGCCTCGCAGGAACTCTACCCTGTCCCCGCTTGTCGGCTCTGGGAGGCTCTGGGCCACAGTGAACACGTGTGCCTGCCCTCCCTCCCTTCTTGGTGGTCTCAGGGAGGTGAGGGCTTGTTCTCAAGGGGCCAGACTCAGGACAGCAGATGGGGGAGTCGCAGCCCCTACCAGGCATCCAGGTGAGCAATGAGGGTCACCCTCGGCTAGCAGGCAGGGCGTCGCACGGACTTGGGCCAGCCCTCGCTGTCACCCGGGGAGGCCCTGGGCTCATGTGGTCCAGTGTGTTACTCTTCCACTTCCTTCTCACTGGCCTTAAGAAGGTGAGTTCCTGGTAGGAAAATTTTGCCGTGGGCTGGCAGAGGCAGGGAAGTGAGGGAGGGGTCGGTCGAGGGGCAGGGGGCAGGCCTTGTTCGGGGAAAGGTGAGAAGCTTGGTGAGCACAGAGGGGGGTCATCCACTGCAGGACAGTAGGGACCTCCCGGAGCCTGGTCCCTCCTCACCTGTTCGGGGCTCCGGGAGCAATGAGGTGAGGTTTTGGTGTGAGATACATACTGTCCTCAGTTCAGCAGAGCAGAGGCCGCCCAGGCAGTGCTGGGAGCCGAGTGTCTCTCAAGGCCCCCGTCCATGTCGGAGCAGAAGGGACCCCACAGTGCTCAACTCCGCCTCCCCGGAGTCAGCTCTGGAAGCCTGGAGCTGTGCCGGCTGGCTGCGCCCTGCGGAACTTTCTCACACCCTCCTACGGGGTTCTAGGGGACGAACTGTCCAGGAAGACAGGAGCCTTGTGAGGCTCTAGAGCACCACCCCTCCACCAGGAGCCTGTAAGTTGGTCTCTGTCAGAGCCTCCAAGGATGTGTTTCTCTGCTGAGGCCGCTGTCCCTCTCCCTCTCTCCCCAGGCCTGTGGCGCCCCGTCTCCCATCATCCCACTCGCACTTCTGCTTGCTGCCGCCGCCAGCTGGATTCATCATGTTTCCCCCTTCAAAGCATCTGTGCCTCACATTTGAGCCAGACTCTCAGGCCCAAAGTGAGACGCAGGGCCCGGCGGAGGCCCATGTTGTCACAGCTGAGGAAGAGGAGGAGACTTCCTCCTCTTGCTCGTTCAACTTCTCCTACCCCTCCACCTCCCCGGCTTCCTCTCCTGGGGCCCTGGCCTCCCAACAGGGGGAGGAGGGGAAGGGGCAGGAGAAGGCGGCGGAGGGGGAGGGGGAGGGGGAGGGGGAAAAGCCTCAGGAGGAGCCTGCCGCAACACTGAGTCCTCCCCAGAGCCTTGAGGGCTCCTGCTCCGTCCCCGCATTGCGGAGCACCTCAGAAGGAGGCTTGAGTAGCCCAGAAAAAGAGGATCCAGGTTCCCTGCAGGCCCCAGCAGACATTGAGTCTTCGCCCAAAGACCCACTAGATGAGCAGGTAGCTGATTTAGCGCGTTTCATGATCCTTAAGTATCAATCGAAGGATTTCATCACAGAGGCAGAGATGGTGAATGTGATCACGAAAACGTACAGGAAACATTTCCCTGTGATCTTTACGAGAGCTTCCAAGTGTCTGGAGGTGATCTGTGGCATTGATGTGAAGGAGGTAGACCCTACTGTCCATGGCTATGTCCTTGTCAGCTCCCTGGACCTCGCTGATGATGAGGTGTCTACTGAGAAGCACCGCATGCCTACAAACGGCTTCCTGGCAATCATCCTGGGTGTGATCTTCCTAGAGGGCAATTGCATCTCTGAGGAGAACCTCTGGGATTTCCTGAATATTATGGGAGTGTATGCCGGGAAGGAGCACTTCATTTATGGGGAGCCCAGGAAGCTCATCACCGTAGATTGGGTGCGTGATAGTTACCTAGAATCCCGACAGGTGCCCAACAGCGATCCTCCACGCTATGAATTCCGGTGGGGTCTCAGGGCCTATGCTGAAACCACCAAGGTGAAAGTTCTAGAATTTCTGGTTAAGATCAAAGGGATGGACCCCATTTCCTTCTCACTGTGGTATGAGAAAGCTTTAAGAGATGATGAAGAGGGGGATTGGACGGGAATTGGTTTTGAGGAAAGTACTGCTGCCATGTCGGTCCCACAGCAGTGATTGGCAGCGTCTCCTGCCGCAGCTGAAGAGTGAGCCCAGAGGGTCACTCTGTATTTGAAGAGGGTAGTCCTGGCTCTGAGTACAGGGTCAGGGTCAAACTGAGGAGAGCACAGTGTACAACAACTTTGTGTTCCTGTTTTGTATGGATGATTTGGAAGTTTATCTTTTTTTTTTTTTTAAACTTTTGGTAGTTTTCAACTGCTGTTTCCTTTACCAGAAAGTTTATTAGCATTAAATCTAAGTGTATAAGTGAATTTGTCTCATTCTGTTGCTGTTTCTTAGACTTAAGAATATGATTTTTGACATTTTACAAAATAAACTGGGAATCCTTTAATTTTGTCTTGTGATCTGGAACAAGATAACAACATGGGAATGGGAACTTCCTTGGGAATGTGAAAGAAAATGGAGGGAAAAATGGAATGTAAAAGGCGGTTCATTTTTGGATTCCCTTAACCGCTAGTTTGTTGTTCTGTAAAATTAAAAGACATATACCTGGACTTGCTTGGCTTGCTGAAGAAAGTGGGCATAATCTTAATAAATTGTATTAAATGAAAGATCCTGCTCACTGACTCATTTATTTGCCAAACGTTAATTGGGTCTTTTCTCCTTAGAAAGCACTGTGTTAATAGCGAAGTCGTGCCCCTAGTCATAAAATGGTAGAGGCTAGGAGCGGCAGTCACCAGGAAGACGGCAAGATGTCTTCCAGAACATGAAGACCAAGCAGAAACGAAGAGTGAGGAGGTGGAACTCTAGATGCAAGCAGTCAGGTAGAAGCCCTGAGCCAAGGCAGTTTAGGGCTTTGGGAGACTGTAGTCCCTCCTGCGGGTGGTAGCAGGGGCTGGACAGACAGGTGATGTGTTCTAGACGTGACAGAAAAGCCTGGAATGGGAACCTGCCTGGTATCGTGGGTAAACCAGAGGGAACTCTCCACCCGGGGCAGGTATGCAAGATGGCCCGACCTCTTGTTCCAGGCCAGTTAACACAGTGCACCGACTGGGTGTTCTGTACATCATCTGCAATGACTGCTTGAGACTAGGGTGATACTCCCTTGCAATGGCACCCAGAGGCCACTAGGCTGCCACTCCTCCCTGGCCAGAGAAAGCCAGCGCCTACGCCATTTAAATAACATTAAACGTAGGTTATCTTTTTTAAAATTTTATTTACTTATTTATTGTATTTTGGATGCACACAAGCAGGGGAGAGGGGCAGAGGGAGGGGGAAAGAGAATCTTAAGCAGGCTCCACACTCAGCATGGGGCACGATGCAGGGCTCGATCCCACAACCCTGGGATCATGATCCGAGCTGAAATCAAGAGTCAGACACTCAGCCGACTGAGCCTCCCAAGTGCCCCTAAAGGTAGGGTATCTTGAGTGTAATTAAGCCAAATCTAAGCACATTTAGGTTTTGGAGAGGATTGGAATGAATGGAAACAGTGTTTGGGATGGAGGAACAGCTAGGAGGGAAGACAGGAGTTGGTCTTTGACTCAAAGTTTGGGAACTTTTGAGTTCTATCAGCGGAGAAAGACTAACTAACCAAATGAATATATCCTCTAGGAGAAGAGATGTAATGAGTTTTATTTGTGAAGCTGCATTTTTGCCTGATGTGATATTCTGTCTCCTCCCGAGCAGCGAGCGGCGTATTAACTGAGATGTCCTGGATTAACACAGAATCCCAGAGGAGGGGGCAGTAGAGTCTGGGGACAAAACAATATTAGAAATAGCTGCCATTTGGTAAAGATCCAATAAATGCCAGGCACTGTGCCAGCTACTTTTCTTCACATACATTCCAGCATGACAGGGCTCATCAAACCCATTTTACAGATGATGACTCTACGGCTCATAGTGATTGGTGATCTCTCCAAGATTATACCCAGCCCCAGTGACGGAGCGGGGTCTATAACTCTGGTCTGAATTCATTTAGGGTCCACGTTGTTTCCACGCCTCACCACCTGAGGCAGGCCTTCTGTCTCACTCCATTTCTCTTAGCACTTCGTAGTGTTTCTCAGGCAGCAAAAAGAAGGACCATGTGACAAGGAACTAAAAGCAGGCCCCTAAACGCCTGGGTGGCTTAGTCGGTTAAGCGTCCGACTTTCGCTTAGGTCATGATCTCACGGTTTGTGGGTTCGAGCCCCGCGTCGGGCTCTGTGCTGACTGCCAGCTCAGAGCCTGGAGCCTGTTTCAGTCTGTGACTCCCTCTCTCTCTGACCCTCCCCTGCTCACGCTGTCTCTCTCTCTCTCTCCTAGAAATAAATAAAACATAAGAAAAAAAAAAGCAGGCCCCTAAAGAAGGGGAAATGAGAATAAAACATAGTTTGGGAATTGATGGAGCTGTACTTATCTAGGGGACTCCTGCTCTGATCACTATCATACCTTAATAGCTGATTCTGCCCAGGTTTGTGTCCAGTCCCAGCAATTTCTGGAGTCACAGCACCTTCCTCCAGATCTTCCCATGTGCCTTCCCCCCGACCCCGTTCAACTCTGGACCCTGGCCTACTGACCAGCTTTTCACTGTCTGCTCTGACGCCTGTGCTCTGCTCCCAGTGGACACCTAGAAGCATCTGCCTTGCCCCTAACAGGACATTCCTACCCCCACAGAAGTCCCCTGGCTGTCCCAAACATCACTCTGGAGCCCTGAATGCAACATCCCTGTGAACTTAAAAGTTTGATTTTGGCAAGTGTTGTCTAGATCCATCTGTAGTAAATTGAACAGTGACCCAGTTCAAAAGATATATCCAAGTCCTCATTCGCAGTATAGAATTCCCTCTCTATCTGAAAGCGGAGCCTTCCTATGAAAGGTTCTATAAGCCTAAGTGGCATAATGTGGAGGAATGATTACCATTAATTATATGGAAAGGGTTTTTTTTTTTAGCGTTCCCAGACCCCGAAAATAATCTCTCTCCGGCTTTTCTGATACCTTAGGACACATCTTGATAATAGATGCACAAAATAAATCAAGAGAAAGTACAGACGCTCAAAGACAGCTTCAGAGTTATGGTGGATTGATGCTGAGAGATGCCGGGTGTTGTTGCTGGGGGAAGGAGCCTATGGCACTGCCCTCTCTGCATGGGGTGTGTGCCTCCTCTCTCCGGGCTCTCTGCAAAACAAGTGCTGGACTCTATTTTTGTTTTTCACCTTTTTGTCTTAAAAGGTTCTTTGCATTTCTTTCAGTTAGCGGAAACGGGTACCAACGGATCTTTAATGAAAGTGAAGTGGCACAATGAACTTTTGAAAAACGAGGCATGCCTGTATGTGTGTATGTGGTCTTATTTGAAAGTAGGGTTTTTGCAAACGTGAATTACTCTAGGAATCTTGAGTTGTGACTCTCTTGGGCTTAGGGTGGGCCCTAAAAACAGTGAACGGCAAGATAAGGGAAAGGAGAGTGAGACGTAAGCACACACAGAGGACATGGAGGAGAGGATGTGAAGAATGGAATCTGAGAGTGGAGTGAAGCATCTGAAAGGGAAAGAATGTCAAGGATGGCTGGCCGTTGTCAGAAACGAGGAGAGAGCCAGGAGATAGAGTTCTCCCTCCAAGCTAGTGTGCTGACACCTTCATTTTGGACTGTGGGCCTCCAGAACTACAAAATACATTTCTGTTGTTTGAAGCCAGCCAGTTGGGGTACATTTTTATGGTAGCCCTAGGATCATCCCCTCTGGGTGTTTTTAAAAACTTGTCAAAGTGTTTTCCCAATAGGCTTGTGAGTAGAGTCTGATGTGACACATAATCTACTGGTTATTGGGATATAACTCTGAAGTCAGACTTAAAAAAATGTGTATTTATTTAGCACAGTCAGGGGAGGGGCAGAGTGTGTGTGCGTGAGAATCCCAAGCAGGCCCCTCCGCTCTCAGTGCAGAGCCCAGTGGCGCGGGGCTCAATTCCACGAACCGCAAGATCATGACCTGAGCCGAAATCACGAGTCCGAAGCTTAACCAACTGAGCCACCCAGGTGCCCCTGAAGTCAGATTATTTTTGAAATCACCCTGATATTTGCATAAGATTTTAATTGGATGCCCGTTTTTGAAGTTGTCCACTGAACACATACAGAGATGAGTGAGTTTACCCATGTAGTTAAAACCCAAAGCCTCAAAAATAAAACAAATAAAAAAACACAAACAAACAAATCCCAAAGCCTCCCTCATAAATGGTAGATAAAGCCATGGAAATCTCTGTGTAAGCAAACATCTACAAAGGCTGAATTCTTTTTTTTTTTTTTATGAATTTTTTTTTTTTTACAAATAGTTTATTGTCAAATTAGTTTCCACATAACACTCAGTGCTCATCCCCACAAGTGCCCTCCTCCATGCCCATCCCTCCTCCCCCCCACATCCATCAGTCCTCAGTTTTTGTCAGCATTCAAGAGTGTCTCATGGTTTGCCTCTCTCCCTTTCCCCCACCATTTCCCCCCTTCTTCTCCCCCTTGTTCTTCCGTCCAGTTCCTCCTAATCCTCCTATACGTGCAAACATATAATATTTGTCCTTCTCTGCCTGACTTATTTCACTCAGCATAACACCCTCAAGGTCCATCCATGTTGCTACACATGGCCAGATTTCATTGTTTCTCATTGCCATGTAGTATTCCATGGTATAGATAAACCACATCTTCTTGATCCATTCATCTGTTGATGGACACTTAGGCTCTTTCCATGTTTTGGCTATTGTGGAGAGTGCTGCTAGGAACATTGGGGTACATGTGCTCCTATGCATCAGCATTTCAGTATCCGTTGGGTAAATTCCTAGCAGTGCTCTTGCTGGGTCATAGGGGAGTTCTATTGTTAGTTTCCTGAGGAACCTCCACACTGTTTTCCAGAGGGGCTGTACCAGTTTACATTCCCACCAACAGTGTAGGAGGGTTCCCGTTTCTCCACATCCTCGCCAGCATCTAGAGTTCTCTGATTTGCTCATTTTAGCCACTCTGACTGGCGTGAGGTGGTATCTCAGTGTGGTTTTGATTTGTATTTCCCTGATGAGGAGGGATGCTGAGCGTCGTTTCATGTGTCTGTTGGCCTTCTGGATGTCCTCTTTGGAGAAGTGTCTGTTCATGTCTTCTGCCCATTTCTTCACTGGGTTGTTTGTTTTTCGGGCGTGTAGTTTGGTGAGTTCCTTATAGATTCTGGATATTAACCTACAAAGGCTGAATTCTTAAAATCCTTGGAGTTCTTCTAGGAAGTGAAGAATGCTTCCTTAGCAGACATACTAGTTCTGGTTTAAAAGAAAAAGCAATCACATAGACCAATGGAATAGAATAGAGAACTCAGAATTGGACCCACAAATATATGGCCAACTAATCTTTGACAAAGCGGGAAAGAGTATCCAATGAAAAAAAGACAGCCTTTTTAACAGATGGTGCTGGGAGAACTGGACAGCAACATGCAGAAGAACGAAACTGGATCATTTTCTCACATCACACACAAAAATAAACTCAAAATGGATAAAGGACCTGAATATGAGACAGGAGACTATCAAAACCCTAGAGGAGAAAGCAGGAAACAACTTCCTTGACCTCCACCGCAGCCATTTCTTGACACATCCCCAAAGGCCAGGGAATCAAGAGCAA